ATATCTATTTTTATTTCTTGTAAAAAAAAACATTTAAGAAATGTGGTGGGACAAGCCCGAGTTTAAATTTTAGCATGAAGAGTAAGTTTTGGTAAATGTTAATTCTATAGACGTTTAGTGCATTTAGGAGTTTAAACAAAGGTTCAGCATGAGTGAGTTTATCTTTTTTATAGACAATTCTAATGGCATGTTTTTGATGTTGATAAAGTGATTTTAAATTAGATTTATGGGTACTTGCCCATGCTATATTACCATATGTATAATAGGTATGTATAAATGAGAAATGTTTTTGGTTATTTTAGTATTTAAATAGTCAATATGTGCTTTCCATGAAATATTTTCATCAATAAGTAAACCTAGAAATTTAGTTGTTGTGGTTCTTTCGATATTTTTGTTTTTTATTCTTAGCAATGGCAAGATATTTGGTAGTTTTTTTCTTTTTTGATTTGGATAGAATAAGATGTAATTAGTTTTTTCTGTGTTTAAAGATAATTTATTAGATTTTAGCCAAATATTTTGTTTTTCGAGTTCAATACTCATTGTTTCAAAAGTTCTGTAAAAGACGGGAATGAGTAAATTAAATTAGTATCATCTGCAAACATTATGACATCAAGTTTGTTTAAGGCTTTTGGAAGATCATTAATGTATATTAAAAACAGTAAGGGAGCTAGAATGGAACCTTGGGGAACAGATATTTTCATCAGTATTAACATATTGCTGTCTGTTTAGCAAAAGGTTTTTAAACCAGAGAAATGCAACATTTTTTACCCCATATTTTTCCATTTTTCTGAGCAGGATTTCATTATCAACAGTATCGAATGCTTTCTATAGGTCTATAAAGATTCCTAGAACGAGTTCTTTATTATCAAATGAGTAGTTGATGCTATTTACAAGATCTACGATTGCATGTTCGGTTCCATGTTGCTTTTGAAAGCCAAATTGTTTTTTACTTAAGATGTTGTTGTTTGTTAAGTATTTGTATAGTTTATTATAAATTATTCGTTCGAGAAGTTTTGAGAATACGGGAAAGATTGAGATTGGTCTATAATTGTTTAGTAAATATGGATCTCCAGTTTTATATATTGGTACAATTTTCGCATTTTTTAATTTCTCTGGAACGGCTCCTGTTATAATTGAAGATTTAAATATTTTGAAGAGGAGAATTTATTATCGGAAAAATATATTCATCAGACCTTCACAGAAAGTAAAAAGTTTATTCTTACTTATTTTGTTGATTTTATATTCTTTACTTCACGTATACGTTTATATAAAATATTAGTGAGTAGATCCGCGTGATCTCTCTTTGGATTATAAAATATATATTTGGATTATATATATATGAAATTTGTAAAAATTTGATACTGTTAATGCTTGTTTGAACTTATTTAAGGTTCTGACGACAAGATCCTTTGATCTTCTTTCAGATACCTTATTTTATATTTGTGAAAGTTAATTATTATCATCATTATTTTTATTTTAATTTTTTTGGCAATATATAGTTGTAATACGACCAACAAATGTAAAATTAAAAAAAAAAAAAAAAAAAAAAAAAAAAAAAAAAAAAAAAAGACGTGTAATCGCAAGCTTTTATTTGACCACGCAAACAATAATTCTGTTTTGACACTTTGACCACGGCTAATTATATTTTAAAAATGCGCTGATAATAAGATTTATATTATATTTATATGTTAGAACTATGTTAGAAATAAATAACATTTTGATTTTTAGATTAGCGAAATGCTTTTACATAACTTTTGAATTTTTAGTAACAAAAACTGATAATGATTTTTGTTTAAAGTATTAAGTAATAACTTGTACATTAGTATAGTATTATAGTATTAATTAGTAATGTATATTAGTAAAGTATTAAGAAATAACTTGTAAAATACAACAATATAATTAAGTTTTAACATTTGGTAGCTACATATCATACCAGCAATGTATTCAGAATTGTGTGCTCAATATTTTCTTAATATTTACAATTTTAAACATTCTGGAACAGAAATGACCAGATGAGTAACTACAGGAATCTTATTAGTATAATTAATGTTATTTGTAATAGTGATTTGTCGATGACACTTGTACGTAGAGTGGATAATGTTTATAATCTTTTGTTAAACAGGATCTTTTAGCATGCTATCCTCGTTTTATTAGGCATGATCTTTTAGCCAGTTTTTATTGTTTTATTAAGAAGGATCTTTTAAGCAGCTCTCCTTGTTTTAAATTATTTTTTGTTTGAAAATGTTTCAGAACTTTTAGTTTATGTCGGATAACACTTTCATTCAAAACCGCAAAAAAACTGGCCTTCTATTTTTTTGGTAAAAATGCAAAATATTAGACCGTATACTTTAAGTAGGCCTTGGTTTCTCTCTGAGTTTATTCTACTTAATTTCAGGAATATTGGAAAACGATCTGGTGTAATGGGTTTTAAAATTTTAAACTGTTTTAAAAATTGTACCATAGCAATTTTTAACTTAATGATTCTTATAGAGCATATTTTGTTTACATTAAAAAACTTATTTATTTGAAACATTTTATCATGTAACTGAAGGTTATTTTTATAACATATTCTTATAAGAATTGTTTAGAAGCGTATTCCGTAACCAAATAACTTTACTTGACAAATGAATGATTAGTTTTTAAGGTGCTGTAACCCTAGAAATTTTTAAAATCTAGAAATTTATAATTTCGCTACGCTTGCGTATAATAACTTTGCTCTTACAATGTAATAGTGTATTATAGTGATTTTTTATTTTTTTTAATTTTATTTTTAGGTGCCCCAAGAAGATCCAACGATCGCGGTGCTCTGTGATAAGATCTAAAATCTTATCACAGAGCACCGCGGAAATACATTTAACCAGGAAGTTCACGTCTCCTTATCGTGATGCGAAAATACGTCCAGAGCTCGTTTCGAACCTGGATCTCCTGCTTATAAAGTAAGCGCTCTAACCATTGCGCCACGGCCGCACATTCGGCTGTATACGATTGTTTCTATTCAACCCAAGTATTCCAGATTCTATTCAATTCAACCAAGTATTCCGGATATCAAAGTAATTGTCAAAAAAAAAAAAAAAAAAAAAATTGATACATGTAATATAAGATTTTAAAAAAGAGTTTAAAGAGCTTTGTATTGAATCACAGGTTTGTCTCTCTATAGCTGATTACAAATATTTGCTAAACATTTTCAATATCATGTAAAAAAATACTTTGTTTTTAAACGTTTATTTTGCTTCTTGTAATAAACTAGGAAATTTAAAATAAAAAATAAGTAATTTGTGTTAAGTTTTAATAGTACTTTAATAATTATCTGTATATACTACTCATCTATACTAAACTATCACAATTGCTAAAATGAATTTTAAGTTTTATAAATTTGTTAGGATTAAAACTAATGAGATTAGAATTTATTTTTACTCTTCGTTTGTGATAATTTGAGCTAAAATCGAACTGTCTGAAATTTATTTAGTGATTGCAATATAAAATAGCATATTCGCTCTTAATGTAGTATACCGATTTTTGTTAGGGTATTATCATGCAAAAAGCAGGGGGAGAAGATTTAAAAAACCCTAACAATTAAAATGCATTTTACTAAATGGAGTATTTCCAAAATTAAGTTTTTTCATTATTCAAACTCTTAATTAAAAAAAGGTACTAGGTACTAATCTACGTTAGTATGAAAAAATAATTGTACATCATTTTTATTTACGATCACAAAACTGATGAGATCTAAAAAATACTTCTCCTGATAATTAGCTTTTTTTTATTAATATCAAAACTTGTAAAATGTAACTTAACTTCTTTTAGAAAACGCTCTTCAATTAGGGGAGGAGGTATTTTAAACTCAAGCATATATTTCTAAAAACTTAAATACACAATTATTATAAAGAAGAGTAATAGATTTTAAGGTGGTTATCAGGAAAAAAAAGTAGCGATTTTTGTGATAAAATGTGTTTTTTAGTTTGTTAGCCAACTTTGTGTAAAATTTAATTGGCTTTTCAACCATATATAGCATGATATGGGTTTAAAAATAAAAAAAATGTAAATAAATTATTTTAGTTGGTAAGAGTAAAAAAAATTTACTTAGCAACCGCATTGCAACGAATAATTTTTTATATATATATTACCCAAAAAATTAGATTTAAACAATTATTTCTTTTCATGGGTCTGTATAATTAATTAAAATTTTGAACCAGAGTTATTATAGTAGTCTCTCATGTTTCAAGAAATTTTAAATTAATATATTGTTTTTAAACTTTGAAATTTGATTTCTCAATTGTATTTTTTTGCCTGACTGCGAAAAGCGAATCATTCATATCTTTTTAACTAGATAAGCAAATGAGTTGAAATTTACAGGGTTGTTTTTTTATAGATAGAACTGCAATAGCTTACTAGAACTAATCTTAAACTTGTTTCCATTTGAATATATTGATAATTAACTATAGGTTTTTGTATCAATAATTTCCTTCAAAATTGAAAAAACTGCCGTCTTAAAAATAATTATTATTTTTAGTTTTTCTAGTAAGCTTTTGTTTATTACACTATAATCTATCAGTGTTGTAAGTTTTAGCTTATAATGCCATAAAGAGGCTGAGAAAATGTTGATTTTTCATTGAATTTTTTGCATTTTATGCTGATTCAGCAAAAAAAAAAAAAAAAAAATAAACAAAAATTTTTTAATTATATTAATAAGTATGTTTCTTTTAAACTAATTTTGGTATATGATTAATTTGGCAATCGAAAAGTTACTTTTTTGCCTGATAACCACCACAATAAAATATTTGTATCCCCCCATCCCAAACTATATACTAAGCAAATATACACGTTGTTATAAAAGTAAAAGATTTTAAGAGTAATAGATTTTAACAAAATATTATTACCCCCTCCCCCAAAACTGTATACTAAGCAAATATAAAAACATGAGACTAATGTGATACGATACGAGACTTGCGTTACACTCTTTCCGAGCTTACACGGTAATCTTACAGAAAAAACTAAGTATATACTCGTTAAATTTTATTTGTTTATGAGATTTTACACCCAATATCCAAGTAAAATTTTAAAGCAACTTTAAATCATAATCGATCTTCTCTTACATACTCGCCTATTAACTAATCAAAAACCAAATATTTAGTTGCAGAACATGCATAATATCATTTTACAACAATAAAACGTGAATGAACAACGTATTTACAATGCTCAAAAAAGTTCATAAACTCCTAAAAGACTTTTACGAAAAATCACGCAACGTGGAACAAAAGGTGAATGCATTAAGCTGTTATGCCCAATAAAATCATTGACAATTACAACTCAGTTAAATGTCAGAATGTGTATAAAACTCACGTAAAATAAAAAAGTAACGGAGACTTACAAAACAGCTATGCAAAGACTTTTAACAACGAACGACAACAAATCCACACAAAAAAAAAGAGATTTAAAAATTATCAAACTATATTTTCATGAACATCGCTCTTTTTTAATTGCTGACATGAAAAGCAAAAGAAAATTTAACAAAAACTATATCATAAAAAAAAATCTTTTTTAGGATTCTGTATATAAAATTTACTATGGATTTTTACCTGTTACAATAAGAAGTCACTAAAAATTAGAAATACATTACGTCATGAAAAGCGAATATTATAGGAGCGTGCATAAAAACAAACAAAATAGTCCAAGAAATTTAACAGCGCAAGTTTTACTTGCAAAGTATAATTTACCAAAATACATTAGTTTTTCACTCATAGTGATTTTGCAACATGTTCTTTGCAATCTTAAAGACGATTGAACAAAACAATAATAAAAACGTACATATATATATATATATATATATATATATATATATATATATATATATATATATATATATGCACACATAAATTTATACCAAAAAACATGTTGTTTTGCTTTATAAACACTTTTGCTTTATAAATTCTAACTTTTCTAAAATATTGAAAGTAATAAATAAGATTCCCTTGAATAAATTTGATAAAATATCCAAAGAAATTTATGTTGAAAATACCACAATACAGTCAACCAAATATAAACAATGGCGAATGCGTTACTGCAAGCATTGAAGGATGCAAATCTTTGTCGATGGGAAATAAAAATACATAAAATTCTGCATAAGCTGCATTTTGTTGCAAATGGTGAAATAATTCTGTATGAATATCTTGCGTTGGGGCGGTAAAGTTGTGGTATGAACGAACGAATGCAATAAAAAATTATTTACACTTTGATGCTACCATGTTGAAGTTTGTCTTGCATAATTTTTAGATATTTTGGGATATATTAATTGTTAATTGCATTACTAGGAGAGAAGGCAAGTTTGAGTGTGAATGCAGCGCTATTTTGTTCTATCGTATGAAATGGATCTGAAGTAAAAATTAAAAAATAGATTACAAAAAATGCAACATCATGATATCTTTTTTAAACAGAAAAATCTTTTTTTTTTAGAAAGAGTTTAAAATTTTTGAAATAGTCAAAAGGATTTCTAACTTAAATTATTGTACTTACCAGAAGCATTATCTCTATGCATTGTAAAATGGTTTGCTAGTATTAGTGCTTCGACTGCAGCAGGTACGGAGGTAAATTCAATAAGACCCGATGATGATTTCATGTTACCTAAAAAAAATATTATTTGCACCTAACATCAGGTAAAAAAAAAATCATTAAAATATATATATTTTTTGAAATGCTAATGCCTAATATTAAAATATAACTTTTATATTATAGAATAGAATGTTTAGTTTGATATAGTTCAAATTGTTTTGAATATTTTTACTTTTTGAAAACGTAGCTTGTTTAATAGGGATTTCACAGCCAAGCATTTGGAAAACTTTATTCAGCTGATCTTCTGTACAGTCAGGAGGAGCGTTAAAGTAGTGAAGTACCTTTGATGGAGGATGAATACGTGAAAACACATCTACTCCTCCGGGAATGAACTTGAAGCGATTGTTTCGTGAATCGGCATAACTCACAGCTGAAGGAGAGCCATCAAACAAAGGGGTAACTTGTGATGAGTCTGCTATGAAGGGATGCTTTGAGAATCTAGGGACAAGAAATTTAGATTAATTTAGATTAATTAATAAAAAAAATTTAGATTAATTAATAAAAAAAAGTTTTAAAGGAAAAAAGTAAAAAGTATAATAAAAAGACTTACGACAGTTGGAACTTTTGACCAAACAAAGTTAAATTATTGAGATTTCTAATTGAAATGTCTGTCGACACTTTATCTGTATATTGTATCATTGCTGAGCCAGGTTTGTTAACAAGTGTCTTAACCTAATAAAATATTTTAACAAAACTATAATAAATTTTAGAAACTTTTTCTACACTGATTAAGTTAAACATTTATGTTTCATTTTATAAAGTTAATTAAGTTTGAAGAACTCAAAAGTTTTATTATGAAATTATAATAGGACTGGATATCCAGGAAATCTAGAAAGGAGAAGAAACAGAACTAGAAAACTAAGTAAAAGAACTAGAAAAACATATAAGAGTTCCAATTCTACTCTAAATTATAATATAAATCATAACCAACTAGGAAAAACAAGTAGCTCAAAGCTAAAAGCTAAAGTTAGTCTACCAGTCTTCAACTTAATGTTACTTTGTAAAACTTTATTTAAAAAATTATTTTATTGTTATTTTACCATTTTCTGAAAAAATTAAAAATAAACTTGAAAATAAAAAACTTTAGTGCAAGTTTTCCACAAAAAAATACTTTATTATTCATTGAAAAGAGAAGAGATTTAACTTGTTTAATTGCTTTTAGTTGAAATTAATTGGTTGTAAAACTAATTGGTAGTAAAAAAAGCATTACAAACACAATCTTTAACTTCACACTTGAATTAATAAATTAACTTATAGATGATTAAGTCAAATAAGAAATATTAAAACTAAAAATAAATTAGTTTTTTATATTTACCTTAACAACATTTCCATAAAGACAAAACAGATTAAAAAGGTGATCACAGTTCATCTTTTCGTGATTAACACCATACACCATTGCAACACATCCTTCACCACCAACTACAAAAAAACAATGACTTCAAAAAATCTTAATAAAATAAGTAATACAAATAACAAAAAACTTGTAATAACCATTAAAACTATATAACAAATAGATTCACCTAAACTAAGTGCACTACCAATTGCAGAAAATTGAGACGAGTTAGGCTCAGTTAAACATGGTTGTTGATTCAGAAGAGTGGTACGACTAATATTTGAACCCGACTCATTGTCTATTGAAGAATCCATACCGGATGAAAGGAGAGAATTTATACCTGAAAAAAAAAATAATGTTATGTTAAAGACTTGAAAACTTGAATAAGTGTGAAAGATGAAAAATGAATTAATAGGTGTGTGTATTTTAAAAGATAGAAACAGATACTTTTAAATATTCTGAGGTTGTATTAATAAAGTGTATTAATAACTAAAGCTTACTTTAGCAAGATTTTACAAGGTGAAAACATTTTTCAAAAATCAGAGAAAAATTAAATACCCCAAAAGTAGATATTATAAATTTTGATAAAAACTTTTAACTTAAATATAAATAGGAAACTAAATGTGTAAAAAGTGTAAAATACCTGGTGCAGTGTGTGATATCTGTGGATTGTTTTCATTGTTTAACAATTTTGTAATAATATCTACAAAATAAATATTAATCTTGAATAAATGCTAAAAGTGATTGAATAAAAAAAAGTTTTGTGTTTATTCACATCCCAAGACAGTTTAGAAATGTTAACAAAAAAATTTTAAATAGCATGACTTGATAGAAATAAATGTATATGTAAAAAATAAACATGTAAAAAAAAAAAAATGTAATTGATAAAAGACAAATTGGAATAGCCAAACTAATTGGAATAAAATTAAGAAAATTGCCGGGTAAAAGAACTTAATATCTCCTACTTCTGTTCTTAATATATTTTTTGCATTGCATAATTTATGGACAATGACTAATTGGAAATTAAAGCCAAATGTTAATAATATTTTGTTATGACTGAAATTTTTATTTTTCTTATAAGAATTTTTGTAGTTAAAAACATTTTTTAGACAATATTTAGAAACACCTACAAATCTATAAGATACTGTAACTATACTAAGAGAAGAACAAAACCAATCAATAATAGCAATGACTTTTATTCAAATTATCTGCAAATTGTGGATTTTTAAAGGAATGTTTACACACCTTTACTAAGTTAACACATCTTCACATTTTGCGAAATTTAAAGGACTTCTGGTTTTTAAAAGATTATTTAGCAAAAAAAAAAAAAAAAAAATTGATTTTTTGCTTTCTCTTATGATAGGGGCAGGGTTGCAAAAAAACCTTTTTTTTTTTTTTTTTTGAAAAAACCCCAAAACCATAGGTTTTTTTAAAAAAACAAACAAAAAAACCATGGTTTTTTTGGTTTAAATTAGGTTTTTACTAAAAAATAGGGTATTTAGTTATCCTTTTAAATTAAAAAAAGCATAACATATTTCATTTGAGTAAACTATATTCTTCATCAATATTATTGTTATATTTCATCAAAATTATCTAACATATCATTGTTTAATGTTCTATATATAAATACAAGCTTTGCTGCTTTTTCTACCCCCAATTGGTTTCTTAACTTAAAATGAACAAAATTAAAAGTTAAAAAAAATTACTAGAAGCACTAGAAGCTGGTGCATTTAATAAATCTTCACTATCCATTATGTTATAGTAGATTTGGCTTTTAACTTGAATAATATTAGTAACTAATTCTTTATCTGTGAAATTCATGGCAGCTATATTTTTTTTTTCAGAAATATTAGATCCAAAATATCTAGGATCAAGTGTGTTTGCCAGGAAATGAGCATCACTGACAGTCTGAAGGTATCTAGATTCAATTTTTTTGTTGTTTCGTTTGATAAAAATGATATACTGTTCATCAAATCTTGAAAAATTTCAAGAGTCACTTATTTTTGTTTAATCTCTTTGCAATATCTAGAGCTATTGCAATTGGTTTCAATATTTTCAATAAATCTTCTGTGTTTCGCTTTATCTGTATATGACTTAACTTTTTTACCAATCACGGGATTCAAGTCTTTATTTTTTCAAACATTGTAAAAATAATGGTCCATTTGTTGACATATTTTTCAACTGAATCGCATACAGAATTCCAGTGAGTTTTAGTAGGAAGTGGCAATTTTGTTCCTCCGCTAAATTTATAAAATCCTCCAGCTTGTAAGATATTCACCAAGATGTGAATGACCAGAAGTGTTGATTGTTTCTACTAAAATGTTAAATTTATCTGTAATTACAGAGATACAAACTATAGGTTCATTATGTATAATACTCCAGCCATCTAAAGACATGGCTACAATTTACACAATCAATACATTATGTTTTTTTTAATTTCTTCTGTATAAACCCTATTTAATATTTCTCCCCCAATTTCTGTTCTATTAGGTAGAGTGTATCCTGGATGAAGCATATTGATAATATATATCTATATTGAAGACTAGTTATATTTGTGAACATAACCCTGTCTTAGTTTCCTGTTGTAAGTTTAAATCTTTTTAAAAAAACATTAGTTTGGTTTAAACCATACAACCCTGGATAGGGGTAATGATTAATTGATTATAAAAGAATTGCTTAATAATAGCGTAGTTTCAGACAATAATATTTTAAAGAATGAGCAATTAAATTTTGTGTAGTAAACTAAGTATATAGCAAATTTATCAACTAGTAATTTTTTAGTTTTGAAGTTGTTTTTTTAACAAAGAAAAAAATTAGATTGCTCATAGAAAGAAGGTTGTTTAGAAATATAAATTTAGTTCATGTGCTGTAGGCGAAGATTTTGTTCAAAACAGCAAACTTTTTAATAAAATGAGTAGACAGTTTACATCTGGTTGTTTTAACCTCTACAGGGATTAACCATTGTTTTTCAATATTTAATTGTAGCATAGTATGAACTATATGTAAATTGATAAAGGAAAAAGTATGTAATATGATGGAGGGAAAAGTTAAAAACACTAAAAATAGTTTTTTTTTTAAATATATAAACATTGTTTCCGAACAATGGTGATTGTCTTATTGACGTATTTTCATAATTTACTCATCATCAGAATTTTCTGTCCAACCATTATCAGAAATATCGCTAAAGTTAATGTTAGAAAATAAATTTCCTTAATCAGAAGATTCATTGTCAGAAGAAACTCCGAGCTTGCAAAGCAGTCATTACTGAAGTCGTTTTATTTTTGCGTATTTTTGATTCCTTAAGATTAGCATGGCTCTGTATCCGCCTTGGATTATTTCTTACTTCGCCATTTGGTATTGGTTCAAAAATAATTCTATAGCATGATCATAAAACGTTTAGTCAAAACTTATTATGCATTTTAAACAGGAATGTTTTTTAACCCTTTATCAGAAATTTTTAGGCGATCATTAGAAAGTATTTGTCTCAAAAATATATACTTTCCGTTTCTGCATTGGAAGTTGGTATTGCAATGGATAATATGAGGGATGTTTGTAATACCTAAGTGATTTATTTAGTGATTTAAGTGATTATCACAATGAGGTTTGCCATAAGTTCGGCTATTTCTAACATCTCGCAGGATTTTGAATCAAGCAGAACTGCTATTGCTTGAAAAATGGGTTTTTTAAATACCGGATCAAGGCAGACTTGGAATGTTTCTTGCAAATTGGAGATAACGTTGAGTATTTCATCAGTAACTTCTTCAAACGCTTTATATTTTTAAGTTACCTTTGATAACAAAATCTTCTTTAAATAGTGTGTTGTCACTACCAAGTTCTTGTCTGACTCCTCTTTCCACAAATAAATCATATCTACATTTTTTATCTTGGTAAGCATACTAAAGGTATTATAAAATACCTTTGGTCTTCGCATAAATTTAGAATGTTCACGGTGTAATAGCTTTTCCAATTTCTCTAATGTTTTTAAAGTAGTAGAGCATGATGTTATTAATGACGGTAGAATCAACAACTTATCCTGTAAAATTTTACTAAATTAAACTTTCCTAATAAACTTTCTGATCTTAAATAACATTAAAAAAACCCGTAAATATGTAAATGAACAGTTTTAACTAAAAAAATAAATTAAAATTAGATTTTAAAACTTAATAAAACAATAATTGCGCTTAGATTGCCATCTAATATAATATTATATATTTTTTACATGTACTTTAGGATATTTAGGTCGGCAGTTGTATGCCGTCCTAAAGAAAAGATGGGTCAGCTTTTGTGTCAGCATTGCCGAATGCCGACCTGAATTTCGCAGACTGCATTCAAAAAAATTAACAGATTTTTGTAAAATTAACACACCTCCATAAAAAAAGGTAATTTTAAATGTTTCATAAATGTACTCTCTAGATCTAAATTCATTCCAGGGTTTCAGAAACGGATTCACTGAAAATATATAGTCAATAATGTTTTTATTTAATTCAAACTATATCACTTACGCTGCATTTGTGGAAAACTTGCTGCACTTGCAAGTAAGGCTGCAATAACATCAGCACTTAATTTTCCATTTTCAACATTAAATGATTTAGGATTGCTAAAAATTTCTAAATTAAAAAGATCTCTTTATAAAATAAACTTTAATTTCCCTTCAATAATTTACTTTAAAGTTAAATCAGTATCATTTAATTATTAATACATAATAATACAGATATAAAAAATAATTAATATTAAATAATATATAATATATCTATTAAAAAAATATATGCATAAAGCTAATAAACACCACACACACACATAAACAAAAGTTAAAATTTAATCTCTTTTCATTTGTGTACACAAAAAACTATATACCTGATAAAGACTGCATTGACTTTCCTACACTAGTTTGAGAGAATGCTGAAGCCATGGCAGCTTGAGCAAACATTGGGCTTGTTTCTGAATTATTAATTAATGACAATAAGGAACCTAAGGAAAAAAAGAGCAGGTTATTACAAATAAAAATCTTGACCTTCAATCAAATCGTTTATAAAAAAATTACTAAAACTTATTGACAAAAAATTCAATCGGTAACATAAAAGTTAGGTCATTGGGTAAACAATCAAAATACTGATGCAAAAAAGTCGACAATGAAAATGATGTAAGCATGTGTAAGTCTACTATATTATAGCTTTTTCATGTAGTCCATGTAGGCAACTGATTTAACTTTTTAGATAAAAAGTGTTAAGACTCCATAACTTTTAAAATTTTAATGTTTAAATTAATAATGTTCAAGCATCAAAGAAAAAAATTCCTAACATTTTTAAGGACTTTTGTTTTTTATTGAAATATTGACTAAACAAGGTAATAAAGTGTAAACAAGAGGGAAAAAAAATTGTTTTTACATAGTTGGATTTGTTATAAAAAGGAAAACATTAAAAAAAAAAGTAAAAAAAAAGAAAAAAAAAAAAAGTAAAACAATTAAAAAAACATTAAACAAAAATAGACTTTTTCTGGTTATTATGTAAATCTTGTTTTATTTGATAATTTGTTAAAATTTATATGCAAAAAATACTCCAGATTTTTTTATAATGTACAAATTTTGAAATACATTTAAATTTTCTTAAAATGTATTTAGGGGTCATCCATAAATTATGTCACTTTAATTTTGACTACATCCCCCTCTTTACAACAGAGTAACTCTTTAGTAACCAGTCCTGTACTTAAAAATACTAACCCTTAACAGCTCCCCCCCTAGAGTGTGAAGTAATTTATGGACTACCCCTTATATGAGAAAACTAAAAACTCATGCACTTCAAAACTATTTTGCTACAAAAAACAAACCTCCTCTCTTACGTTTTTCTATTTCAATATCATATGTTTCTGTAGTGTTTGCATGCACATTTAATCTGCCTGTCTAAAAATTAAATATATTTAGTATACACTTATTAAAAGATTGAATATGAAATTAAAAAAAAAAATCCAAAAAATTATAATACACTTTACATCTATACTTTGTACATTTAAAATAGACATGCAAAAAATAAACATGTTTCATTATACAACATATGAAAAAATATTAATTTATGTTTCTTATATATTTAAACTTTTAAAAAGCAGGAGTCGAAATAAGTGTTGAACATTAGCAACAAACTATTGTTTATTTTTACTGAAAAAATGAACAATGATTTGTTGCTTTTCTCTAGCAGGACTCAGATATGGTCAGAGGGCAAAGTCTGACACCTATTTCGACCCCTGAAAATCTATGTAAACTTAAATAACTTCTTTATTTTGTGCAATGCTTCAGTTAAAATGTTAAGAGAGTAAGACCATGAAAGGTGACCATGAGTGCGCAATGAATTTAAATTAAAAAATAATAGTTATGCAAATCTTAATTTAAACAGATTTTGCACTGTGCTCTTTATCAAAAAGACCATAATTGTTATATAATAATATAACAAAAATTTAAAAAAACTTTTAAATTATTTAATTTATTTAAAAGTTACTAACAAAGTTATCAGGTGTTAAAAAATTCCCAAAATAAAATCATTTTAATTTCAATTAAGAATATTTCAAGTAATGTATAATATAGTGTCATGCCCCAGTCGAGTGACTAAACTTTACAGAGTATGTTAAGTGCTTTTCATTTATGGAACAGATACCATTTTTTTAATGCATTTAACAATGATAAATATAAATGAGATGGTCTAATAATATTGCTCATACTATTATAAACACATTTTTTTTTTTTTTTTTTTTAAATTTGCATTCACTCCCAACAAGGCTGCAAGCAACCACTATTAAGTTGGGAGTTACTAGGAAAAAAAAAAACAGAGTTATAGAGCAAGGAAACGGTTGACAGAAGACTTGAAAAGTTGAAGGTTGTATGAGTCAGGAAAACATGAAGATGGGAGAAAGTTCCGAAGGATTGAAGTGCGGGGAAAAAAACTAGATGAATAAAAGTTTTTAGAGCATGCAGGGACAGATACAGTAAACGATAGAGACTTAGCTGAATGACGAGTAAAACGAGAATGAATTTTAGTTGATGGAACTAGAGATGATAACTCCTTTGAGCAGTGACCATGATAGTATCTGCAGAAAAGAGAAAGAGATGCAACTTTACGACGATGGGAAAGAGGTTCAAGCTTAGCAGATCACCACCACGTCCCTGGTAGTACCGCGCTCAACTCGTTTCTCCGTGCAGCGGCCTTGTTCGTCAAGGTTCGTGTTTCGGAGTTATAGAGTTGAGAGAGGGTTATAGCCACAAAATAAGTAGTCTCCTCGTCTGTAGTGGCCTTCTCGGCCTTGAGGAGGTGAAGTAAAATAAAAAAAAAAAAAAAAAAATAGGTCCAACAACATTTACAATGCGTTTTTGGACTTTGTCAAGAAGAGAAAGTGAATCGTTAGAAGAACCAGCCCAAATATGACAACAGTATTCCATACAGGGACGAATAAGAGATTTGTAGAGGTAGAGAATGGAATCAGAAGTAACAAAATGGTGAGCACGATAAAGAGAAGCAACCTTAGCAGAAGCTAATTTAGCAATCGATTGTATATATGGTTTCCATGAAAGGTCAGTAGTAAGCGATAATCCAAGAAGACGTAAAGAGGACGACTCAGTAAGAGGATTGCCATTCATTAATATAGGAATGTTGACCATATTACGGTAGTTGTTTGCAGTAAGCAATTGGGTTTTTTTAGAGTTGAAATTCACAAGCCACTGTGAACCCCAATCTATTACTGAAGTGAGATCAGATTCAAGATTAGCTGCTTGTTCTAGGCGATCGAAAAGAAAAGACTTTTTGTCAAGACAGGAGTATAAAGTTGAGTCATCAGCAAAAAGAGCTACTTTAGATGAAAGGTTGTCAGGAAGATCGTTTATGTAGATAAGAAACAAAACAGGGCCCAGGATGGAAATAAAGAAGAGTGTTGGCCTTCAAGGATGACTTTATTAAACTGGTTAGAAAGAAATGATTTGATAATCTCAAAAACTTTCTCAGAAACACCATATGAAGCAAGCTTATGGAGAAGACCAGCATACCAAACTTTGTCGAAAGCTTTAGACATGTCGAGAGCAATAGCCCTAGCCTCACCGCCTCCATCTAATGCACGATAAAATCTTTCAGTTACAGCAGTTAGCAAGTCGGCCGTAGAGCGAGAGGATCGAAAACCTTATTGATTGTCTGACAGCAGTTTATTTGACTCAAGATGAGATGTGAGGAATTTGTTGATCAAAGACTCAAAGACCTTGCTAATAACAGAGAGAAGACTGATCGGACGATAATTGGAGGGGTCAGAATTTTCCCCAGAGTTTTTGAATATTGGAACCACAGATACCATTTTCCAACAAGCAGGAAAACAAGACTCAGTCAAACACTTGTTAAATAGTTTAGAGAGAATTGAAGAAAGTTCTGGAGAACAATTCTGCAAGACTGTGACAGGAATGTTGTCTGGACCACAAGCTGTAGACGAGTTTAATTGAGATATGACTTTAGCAACAGAAGCTGGAGTGATTTGAATGTCTAACAATGGGTCAACCTGTTTGACTGGAATGGAAGGAAGAGAATGTCCATAAGATTCAAAAGTGGAATTAGAAGAAAAGTTCTTTGCAAATAGTTCTGCCTTATCCTTAGGAGAGGTAATAAGATCAGTCCCATGAATGAGAGATGGAATGTTAGATCTACCCTTGTTAACAATGCTGTTGAAGATTTTGCAAAAGTTTTTAGAGCTTAACTTCTGCGGTAAGATGCGAGATTTAGTGAACTGAGAATAATAGAGTTTAGCATCAGAAAGCACCTTTTTACATTGATTTTAATAAAAACAAATGCATATATTAGTAAGACTTGGTACATTTTTTGAGATATTAATGCCATAAATTTTTAATTTTTATCCTGTTAACCCTGAATATGTGGATAGAGTTCTTTTTTAAAAATGTAAGTAGTATAACAAATCAGTCAAACTCAATAGGCCAAACATCAATGCATCAACAAGTTATACAACACAGCTAAGAATAAAACAAGGGTCAAAAAGTCCTACTCTAACAACCAGTCAGGGGCTTAAAGAAAATATAAATAATATTTTAATTGTGTTTTACATTAAAAAATTTGCCTAAATTTTATAATTTACGCATATTTTTTGATGGAGGGCACAATAAGGTGATTAAGTTAATGGTCACTTTGGTAATCTAAATGTCTAACTGAGACTTTCTTAGAGAAGAAAGTCATTCCAAAACTGAAGACTATATGGGAGGCAAGAATCTATTGAGTAACCTTAAGTTAGAAAAATGACAAATAACAATTAGATTATTGTCAAATATTAATTTTTTTGGAAAAAAAAGTTGTTTTAATGCATAAACACTTAATTTTGACCCATGTGTTATTTGGACATATAGATTCAGGATTATTTTTTTGAAAATGAAATAATCTAGAAATAAAAATAAAGGTATTCTTATAACTTCTTGTAAAACCTAAAAAACTTTTCCTCAAAAAACTCTTATTAAAAATATTTTAATGTTTAAACATTTACCTTTGAAAAGTCAATTTTAAGTGTACAACATCCAGCAAAAATGTCACAACCATTTAATGCTTGCTGTATTCGCTGAGCATCATCTACAGATAAAAATTCTACAAGAGCTTGCAATCCATTCTTATGAAAGATAACAATACGTTGAACTTCAGCATGCTGTAAACAAATTTTTTTAACTGTTTCCACATTAACTGGATGAATAGCATTAATAATAGTAAATAACAAAATGTTTGTTGGTGCTTGACCGACTGATGCATTGGAATTACTAAAGTCTCTACATTAAAAAAAATACATAATTTAAATATCGAATAGACTCATAAATTAACATAAATCTGAGAAAAACTTATTAAAATAATATTAAGTTTTTTTTAATTTATTGTTGGTTATCCAGTAATTGAGCTGAGAATTATATAAATGAAAGCAATATAAAAATATGAGAGCAATATATAAAAAAAACAACCCGTGTAATACCAACGATAATTTTCCGATAAACAATTACTAAACTGGAGATGCCAATGTTTGATGACAATGTAAGTGGAACTAACCACTATAAAATTATATTTTTAAAAATTATATATATATATATATATATATATATATATATATATATATATATATATATATATATATATTAGCGACGTATCCAGGCCGATTTTGATACCGGTATGCCAGTATGGACCCCAAATTTCTGCCCAAACTAAACTTATAACAATTTCATACTAGCACCAAGTTTGCCATAAAAAATTAAAATAAAACATTTCTTTATTACTTATTGTCTTGCTGTTTTGTGATGAAATTTGTTATGGTAATTATGATGATAACTATGGTGACAATTATGATGATAAAATTTGTTATGATAAATAGAAATTTGTTATTAATGTTGTTTAGAAAAAGCAACATTTGAAAAACTACTTTTAAAACGAATTATAAATGTATTTTTTCCAATCAGAATGCTTAATTTGAATTCTCATGGATGAAATATAGAATATGTTACAATTGGATTAAAATGTAAAACGCACGTCTTGATTGGAATAAAATGTGAAACACTTAGCATTTTAATTTTTAAATTTTAGCATTTTAATTTTTAAATAAAAACATTAACTTTTTTAAATACTCTAATATGAGTTTCTCCTCTGCTTACATTTTTATAACTATAATTTACAATACGATTAAACTATGTGAGCTTGAAACTTTTACATTTCAATTAACAGTAAAATTGCATTAAAAAAATGCTAAATAATAAAATAAATAAAGTTTTTAAAACATAATATTATAATAATCACGCCAAAAAACTTAATTTGAAAAGTAAGAGAAGAACAACAACAAAGAGTTACTAACTTTTGAATGAATTAATAAAAATTTTGAATTGACCTTTTCATGCAACAAATACATTATGTAATGAATCTTTTTAGTCGCTATGTAATGATAAATACGCTATGTAATAAATCTTTTTAAAAGAAAATACGCTATGTAATGAATCTTTTTAAATGAAATATACAAATATTGTTTATTAAATGTTACAGCTGTTGCATTTCTCGTGAGTACCCGGGAAGGGTACTCATGGGAGAAGCAATAAGGAAATAATATTGATTTTACTCTTTTTATTAGTAAGTGAATAAAGCATGTAAATAAAAATTAGTGGCGAATCTATGTTGATGTTAAAGCCATTATTTTGTAACAAACTTTTGGTTAATTATTCACATTTTTATTTGGAAGAATACTCGGGCGAGTTATATTATATATAATCTTTTAAACTTATGTTCTGAAAAAAAAAAAACTCTTAAAAATCTGCAAGGCTTAAGCTTTTTGGTAATACTTTTTTTTCTAACAAGTGTTTGTCTATTTTGTTCAGGCAATTCTGCAGAATTTACATGTCTATTATAATTGGCTTATTTTCAGACTTCTATTCATCCAACAATGTACTAGGACTTTACTGTCACGGTGATGACTGGATCAAATAATGGCATCTTCAAACAATTGAAGCAGAAGTTTCCAAGGCTAGTTAGACGACATTGCTTGAATAATCTTATTTTGACTGTAAGTGATGCAGTTAAAGCATTGGTCGCATGTTTTACAACTAAACTAATGCAGGCATATATTTGCACTATTTCAAGTGCTTTATTTATACTTTTTATGCTTTGTACAGAACCCAGTCTTCAAAAAAAAAAAAAAAGAAAAAAGAAAGCTTTCTGCAGCAGCATTTGAGATGAAAGTTTGTCTATTCAAGTTTGTTAATTTACGTTATCTTCCGTCTCATATCTGTCTTCAAAGGGATATAATTTAGAGTCCCAAAGTTTTTGAATGCCATTAAAAATGGTATTTTTCACAATTTGAACATATCAGAAAGAAGAAATCAATCTTTAAATTTATCTGACCACCTTTAGAGGCTGCTAATAAACTTTATTTCACGCATAGATATTTGATCTATTGATAAAAAGCACATCTGAACCCAATCAGTGCAATGCTTTTAACCATATTTATAGTAAAGTTATAATACATGAAATATAAATTTCCCAGGATTTTCAGAAACTTTGCTGAAAAGATTATGCAACTGTCTGCTCGATGATTTCTCTTTAACAAAAAGAAGCTTTGTGACTTTAAGAACACGTTCTTGACATTTTAATGGTCAATTTAAAGTTATAACTCAGAAGTTATGAATTTTTCTTTTTGAAATGACCAAAATTGTTGTTGCTGAAAAAATACTTAATATTGGCCCTCAAAATCTTACATTATTTTGGTAATAAATACAGGCCAACCTATATCAAAATTAACAAAATCTATATATTATACACGTTTTAGTATGTGTGCTAAAAATAGTGTGTAAAGTAAGTTTTCTTTGGACAAATGACAAAATAAAATATATTTACCTATTTATTTCTGTGCTTTTAGAATAATTAACATACATCTGACGACCAAGTATAAGCACAGGTTGAATCTTAAAAAAAAAAAAAAAAAAATTTATATATATATATATATATATATATATATATATATATATATATAATAATAATAATAATAATAATAATATGTATGTAATATAATAATAATAATAATAATAATAACAATAATAATGATAATAAAATAATATAAACTTAATAATATAATTAGAAGAGTTATAAAAAATATAAAAAATTTGTATTAAAAAATACCTGAGCATAGGTGACACAAGCTATAGCTGATTCTAATTCCTGTGTGACAAAATTATTACAAAATAAAGACATATTCATATAAGTAAACAAAAACACTAGGTGATGTAAATGAGGTTATATAATAGGTTTAAAAATTATCAACTTACCTCATATTCAACAAGAGCTTGTCGCAGCTTTGGCATTAATGTCAGTGCTCTAAATGTAGAAATGAATGATTTAAATAAAAAAAATAACAACAAAAATATTTGAATAAAAACCTTACATTTTTCAATTTCGTATGTGTCAATAAAGTCACAGGTTAAGGTTATAATACACTTATATGATATAATAGGTAATGAAACTTTATATATATATATATATATACATATATATATATATATATATATACACACACATATATATATATATATATATATATATATATACACATATATATATATATAACACACTTTTAATTTTAAAAATATTTTTAATACAACAAGTCATATATAAAAATAACTAAAAATGTAAAAGATATAAAAAAAACCTAATGCTTCCAAATGGTCTCATAATTTGCACCAAGTCTGTTTCTTTACAACCATCAGCAACTGCACGACAATGCACTACCTTAGAAGGTGGCATGTTGTGATTGTCAAAAGCTAAACAAAAAATATAGCTAATGTTAGTAGCTTGTATTAACACATTTTATTAGTTCAATCATTTAACTGAGGATGGAAATGTTAGGATAACATTTCAGCAATACCTGTATCCCCTTTAACTTTCATAACAGGAATAGTATATGGAGTCCACACTCGCCATTTGTACAATTCTTCCATTTTTGATTTTCTTTGATAAGCAACACCCTTTGTAGGACTACTACTAACACTACTATTATCTCCAAATGTTTGAGGAAGTTGAGAGTGAAGTAAAGGGTTGGTTGCTAGATTAAAAACTTGGGAGAAAATTTCCAATGCTTGTGGCGCACTTAAATGCGCCAAAGAACTCTGCAATTGATTTGATAAATTTTGCTCTGCGTTTTGATAACCAATCGTTGTATCTCCTTTTGAAACAAGATTTTCACTTGATGAAAGCAACATATAAGTGTTCTTGTCAGTCAGCTCCTCTGGCACGCTCACAGATTCAACAGGAGCAGTCATTACATTGTTTATCAAACAATTTTTCTATTTTTATTTTTTTATTTTTGCAACTACTTTCACTTAAAATTAATGTTTTAAATTCAACAATTAAATATATAAAAAACAGGTCAAAAAAAAAACTTATACATAGTAAATTAAACTTGCTCAAACTGCAACACATAAAATTTTAAAATGCATATTAAAAAAAGGTAGTTTTCAAGGTTCACTAGCAAAAAACCCATGAGAGATCACTGCATAGAGAGAGGGTGATGGACCACTTATACACTAATAGCAGGCATACTGATTTATCATACACAATACCTATATATTTGAGTAACTTGCAAAGTTCAAAATTTAAAAAAATCTGCATATTTTAAAAAAGTTATGCATAAAATGTGAGCATTAAAAACATTATTTTTTAGATTTTAATTGTTTTTAATTATTTGGGTCCATGAATAATTACAACTTTCTTTCAAAAAAATTATTTTACTAAGTTTTTTAATTCTTTAAGAGCAAATAAATTGCAAATATAATAAATATATACAAATTAATTGTAGACATTTAAACATCAGTCAAGTCATAGCTAAAACTTAAAATGAAAGGATTTGAAGTCATAAGTAAACATTTAGGAATTTAACTCAAGTATAGAAAAAATTAAAATTAAAAGCAAAACCCTTTAATTCTATTAAATTAAATAATAAATAATTGATTTTGCAATTAAATTTCTTTAAGTTTATGTACTTATAAAAATATTGTTGAAATAAATTCACGACTAAAATTTCGATGATGCACATACAATTATATAGCGAAAATTCTTTGTAAAATCTTAAAATAATAATAAGTTTTAAAACTGCCTTGTTTTAATTAAGAAATATATTTTGTTTTCTAAGTTGACCGCAAGTAATACATTTTTTTTTTAAATATTGAATTAAAAAAAAAATAAAAAACGAAACGACATTCAATCTTTAGAATTCTACCTTGTCGTGAATTAATTTCGTTGTTGTTGGATCCAAGACGCTTCATTGTAACCAGTTCGTAGTACGCATTCTTTTGTGTTGCAACTCCATAGCGATGTTTAAGAGGAATTATTGAGCGCTGATCATGCACACGGTGATTTCCCACCGATCCAACTGAGATTTTGCTGCTAGACGATTCTGGTGAGCCAAGAGTATATTCAAAAACCGGCTGGCAAGAAAAAAAGTTATGAGATCTTCGAGAATTTATAAGTTCCATGTGCGAGCGATTAAGGATATTTTGATTGGAAAATGATAGTATGTCGTTCATCATGTTTTTGACATGCTGAATAAGGAACTATATAGCAAAAATAACGTTTGTTTTTCTTGATTACGTCGATAGCAAATATAATGATTTCGTCGATAGCAAATTAGTTTGTTAACTAGTTTAATACCAACAACAAAAAAACGCGCTATATTCTCATACCTTAAAATGTTGATGATTTATTCAGACATCCTTTTGCATTGATTAAAATTATTGAAACGATATAAGTTCAAAAAAGCTTCAAAACACAAACATATAATATTTTATCGGTCATTGGAATGATTTTAGCAGTGAGCAAATTTTCGCGCCACAATTTTACAAATTTATTTTATTTTGTCAAGAGCGCGTTGTCAGAACGATTCGAATGCCGAAAAGTAATTTTATTTTCAATGAAATTAAAGCTCGCTAATTAAAAAATTCTTCTTTCAACGAAAACGTTTTTTTACTTTTAATTCTCACGGTTATTGAAACTATTTTAAATTTTCCAACAATTGAACGCAATCAAAACGAAATGCAAAAATCATGAATTTTATTATAAGTTTATACGTAACCTCTGACATTATTTTATTTTGACTTAGGTTACTGAATTTTTAAATATTCGTATTTTAGTAGTTTTTAAAATCTTTCTAAAATGAAATTAATTCTAAAATTTATCTAAAAGTTTTAGAAAAAATTTTATTTTATGTAACATTTAATTATATATATATATATATATATATATATATATATATATATATATATATATATATATATATATATATATATATATATATATATATATATATATATATATACAACGTATGATAATGGCAGGGGAGGAAAAGAAGCCCAGAAAATTATTAAATAAAAACTAGGCTGATATTTACGTCATGAATGGTGCCGTTAAATCATACATAAAGTAGAAGACTATTATTATACCTTTTTTTTAGTTATTAAGGTGTAAAAATAGGTGTTTTAAGGTATAAGATAACAGGCATCAAACCTCGAACCTCTTAGAACTCTAACCAATGTGCCGCGGCTGCTTATTTATAGAAAAAATGGTGGCAGTAAGATTATGATAAATATTTGCGCTAGCTTTGTTTATAGCTGTTGAATAAAGAAGCAAACGCAAACTGTAGTCATGAGGTAATGAGTTTTGTCAAAAATAAAATCAAAAATATAAGCAGTTACCGCGTCCAGATATAAAGATAAAACAAATGCTTACAAGTTAATTTAGTAGGTTGCACTAAAAATATTGCATTTCAGTTTAATGCACATTCTTTATTTAATTGTATACAGATATACAAAATAATGTTCAAAAAACTTTTTAATTTAATTTTTATATGTCTATTTCAATTTGAAAAAAAGGTCCTCTATATCTTGAAATTTCTATAAAAATAAGCTCTTTTGAAAAAAAGTGGGAAGACGTGCTTGCCGTTGCCCATCCTTTGTCGCTAGCCGTTTGCGCTACTACAGTTTCGTTCTCCTCTCCCCACTTTTTTTCTATATGATTGATTATAATAGAGAACTTTATAACAACTCCGACAAATATATAAAACATAGCTCTCAAAATCAGTAGAATATGCTCTAATCTGAGCTTAAAGTAAAAAAAATTCTCATTGAAACGCTTATAATAGCCTTTTTTTTTTGCATTCTGTAACTTGCTTTAAAATTATCTTAATTATAAATAATAATTATAAATAAATAATAATTATAAATAATAACTATAAATAAATAATAATTATAAAAAAAAAAAAAAAAAACTCGTCTCTATTATCATTATTCGTGCTACTACGAATTGTAATTCTTTCTTATTATATTCTAATACTTTGAGGTTATTAAAAGTTTCAATAAAGTTATTATTATTATCAAAATTTATTTTAATTAAGTTATTATCCAATATTTTGATAATATTTTAATAAAGTTATTATTATAATTATAAGTTATTTTAATAAAGTTATTATCCAATATTTTGAGGCTATTAAAAGTTATTTATCAATAGCAGTGTATCAGGTCAGATAATTTTATGTAAGCGTGTTGAAAAACTTGATTTAACTGAGTATATATATTATTTGATAGAGATAAAAAGATCAGAGTTTAAATCCCAATGGAGTCAATACATTAAAATCTTACAATAAATGATTTAAAAATATCTGCTAATGACTGTTTAACTTCAAAACAAAAATAAAAAAATAAGACTTAGCTACAGAACTAAATCTTAAGAACTCAGTATTCTCAATATATAAATTTTTTCAACAAAAAATGAAATTTACGTGTTCAATTAACTTTAGTAAAACCTTCAATTGAGCTTAATTGAAGGCTTTACTAAATTTAATTGTACTTATATAACTTACGTAACATTTTTTATATTAGTGAGTTGCGCTAATTTGCTTTTAAGCATACTTATATAAGATAAGTTGCTTAAAAGCAACTAAGAAGCGATAAGTTGCTTTATAACAACTTATCGCAAATCGCTTATTAAAATCTTTTAATCGCCGTTTAATTTTCTAATTTAAAAGGTTTCGTTTGCTTTTTTTGGAATATTTTGAATCAATTAAACTTATTCTGATTTTTCTCGCTGCATTTTGATAAAGTTATTGAAATGTTTAACTTGACTAAAAAACTTGAGTAAAATACTTTAGAAGTTACGTTAACTTTTTAATCATTAAAAAAAAAAAATTATATATAAATATATATATATATAAGTATTAAAAAAAAAATTTAGAATTTCGCTTTTTTTGTATAGAAAAAAGAAAAAGTGCGCGCGTATGAGTCAGTGTTTGTGTTAACATGCTTTTTCAAGACTGTTTCAAGCAGGATATTTTACAAGACTGTTTCAAGCAGGATATTTTACTAAAGGAGGGGGGTGCTGAAAAAAAGCAAAATTTGAATAATTCTTTTAAAATTTTCTTTCAACATCTTTTTTTAAATCAATTACATTAAGTTTTGGTTTATTACGGATCGAATAATCTTTTTAAAATTAATTAAAGCAAACACAAAAATCGAAGAAAAATACAAAAAAAAAAAAAAAAACGATAAAAAGAATTTCGAATAAAAAAAAAAAAAAAAAAGAACACTTAAATAATGTAAAAAAAAAAAAAAAGCAAAAAAAAAAAAAAGTTAAATAAAAAGAAACGAAAGAATAAATAAGTAGATATTTAAAAAAAAGGATGAAAAGAGGAGACAATTATTCACAGCGAACAAATCATTTAAAAAATTATGAAACATAATAATTATCTAGTTCGAACATTATTATTTTAGTTCAAAGACGGCGCTCTAACAAATTAAAAATTAATAATTAGAACTGAACACATCATTTTCGAATTCAATCTAATAGTTATAAAAAAACCTAAACTTTAAATTAAGTGGCCAAAACATTTTTCCTGTAATTTTTTAAAAATATTTTGAAATCAAAATTGACTCAAATCTATCTTTTTTTTTTCATCTCTAAGAATTAAAGTTGAAATAAATCGACGATTTTCATAAGCTATATAAAGTAACAAACAAACAAACAAAAAAGGAACTAACTTAAGTGAAAATTTAGAAACCTAAGCTAAAATATCTTTAATACCCCAAAAAAATATAATATTAAAAATAAGTAGGCGCTATTGATTACTGTCCTGTTTTACAAGTTAACATACATTTCTTATATTGTTGAAAAGTCATAAATTTTTATTGCGAAACATTACAAATAAAAAGGTAATGTGAAACAATCGAGGCTATGTGAAAAATGTGAAGATGGCGTTGCATAATTGAAGTCAAAAGACTATGTATATATGGGTGTGTGCGCCTTACTTATTTTTTTTATAGCAAAGTATACAGTAATATACTTATTGTATAAATAGTTTTTTTATTAATTAATAAATAGAATAAAGAAAATACAAATATAGCTTATATCGTTTATTAGCAATCTTTGTTTTATTTTTTCTTTAAATTTATTAAATGCTATTAGTTTTTTGTTGGAGTATGTTTATAAGCACAACCAATTAGATTTATTAAAGTTGAAGGTAGTAAATCATATTTCAGCTTAGTTTCTGTTATTCCAATTATACTTAATTCATAATTTATTAGAGATAAAAGTGAAATTAAATCGTCAAAATGTTATCTAATGAAGTAATGATCAAATTAAAGAGAGAAAGAAAATTATTATTGATGTTTAAAGAGTCAAAAATTTTTATGTCTATATCTTATGGATGCCCTTTTGCGGGAACTAATTTTTCTTTTTATAAAATAATTAATATATATATATATACATATATATATACATATATATATATATATATATATATATATATATATATATATATATACATATATATATATATATATATATATATATATATATATATATATATATATATATATATATATATATATATATATATGTATGTATTGGGTCCTCAAGTATGTTTATATTATCAGCGTATTTGTTATTTAGATGATAGTATAATCTGAACAAGCGAGACCAAGAAAGTATAATAGATACCTATTATACCTCTATCTTTATATGTTCTGTTATCTATTATATCTCCTTGGTGAGACAAATTGAAAAACCCTGTGACAAATGAATCGTGTACTTATATAGAACAAAAAATACCAATTTTGGAGTGTTTATCAATAGTACCTTTCGCGAAACTGTTTTTGTATTTTTGTTAAACTTTCAAATTATATTTTTTTGTTTTAAAGTTTCCATTTTTTTTATAAAGTGTAGAGACATGCTGGGAATTTTCTGCTTAAATTTATAACTTTTGTTAATAGTTGCTTACTTTTATTTCGGAGATAATAATTGTGCTTAAAATCTTTTTTTAAGGAATACCACCTTAAGCCTATGTTTCAAATTGCGAGCAACTCATTTTGAAATTTTCCTATCCCAACTAATATTGTTTTTGAAAATGATAAAACACTTTATATAACCCTACTTTATACATGTCCCATAATAACAAAACAATTGTTGAGCCTATTAATAATAATAGTTACTATGCTTGTTAGAAATTTATTGATACAACATTAAAAAAAAAAAGGTTTGGGATTAAGGTTTTTTCCCTTTAAAAATTACGTATCATCTTCTTATCACTTGATAAATTTAAAAGAAAAAAAAAATTATAAAAAATAAATTTATAAGCTAATACAGAGGTAAAGCATTTATCGCTGTCTGTATCTTTCCAGCTTCGTTTCTCAGTTTTTTACTTTCTTCGTTATGTCCTTGCATAAGATGCGCAACGCTTAATACTGTTAAGGCTCTTACAATTTCAGGATGATTATCAGTACCATGAATATTTCTGAGTGCTGCTAATGACAAATCAAGTATCTTTTTCCCGTAAAGAGGAAGCCCCATCAAAGTGTAAGCGTGACCTAAATCCGTCAGCGCACTTGCAAATTCTGCTCCAAATTGTTTACTTTTAGCTTCATCGGAAAGGTCCGGAGTTATAGCTTGTAACATCATGAGAGATCTTTCAATAGACTCTTTTGATTCTCGTTTCATATCAAGAGCACTGTATGTTACACCAAGTAATCCAAGTAGCCTACCATAATCAGATGGCTTTTTATACTCGCCAAACTTTCGACGATCAGCTTCATATAGCTGCGCAGCTTTCTCTAATACATCTTTAGCCTCATCAAACTGTTGCAGCGACTGTTGCATTTTAGCAATATCAGTCATTGTTTTGGCAATATCCAAAGAGTTAGTTTCTTGAGAAGATTCTTGTAAATCCAGAACTTGCTGAAGTATCTGTTTACTGCTTTCAAAATCTTCATTAATTAACGCCAAACAATTGGCTAAAGAACTTAAACATTCAGCATAACCTTTCCTACCTATAACATCCATCTTCTGATTCTCCATAATATACTTTAAATGACACAACAAAAGTTTTCTTGAAGTTAATCCTCCTGTATCTTGCTTAGAAACTAAAATTTCTTCATTGATTGAAGATAACGCACGAGCTAAATGACCTTGTAAGTAGCGTGCTAATTCTTTATCAGTTGGGACCCAAAATAACTCATCTTTTGCCATCACAGTGATCGTTTTAAATATCGAAGAAATGTCTATTCCAAAATTATACTTATTTAAAATCGACTGGGCAAAAGAAATGTCGCCATCATAAACTCCAGCAGAGTTCCGAAATAAATGTATTGATGCTTGTTTGCTAAAACCATTCAACTTTTTATACCAGGATTGATTTTTATATGTCAATTCACTTTCAAGGATATGCTCACACTCCATACGATGTACTGTAGCCGAAAGAAAGTGCTGACGAGCAACATTGTATACTACAGGATGCATTGAAATTGTTTTGACACCTTAAAAAAAAAAAGATTTTAACGTATCAGTTATTAAGTAATGAATAGTTTTTAATCCTACCATCAATTTTACGTCGGATTTAACGTTATCTGTTTCAGATCTAAAAATCTTAAGTCATTAGTAACCGTTATAATATCGTTTACCATTGGTTACGAAAAGAGTGTCATCAAACATGACTTTTAAGTGTTAAAAACAGTTTATCGGTTCTTTTGAATTTTTTTCTACTAACTCTACACAGACAAGATACACATCTACGACATCTTTAATGTGTAAAGTGTTTCAATATATGCAACAGTTTACTTTATTAGAATCGAAAATTTAAAAATAAAAATTTAAAAATATAACAATTGAGTTTATTCAATTTATTTAAAAATATATTATCAATAGATATTAATAGAGGATATTATTAGATTATTTATTAAATCTTCTCACCTCCAGGTTCTACTGTTTGTGTCATTAGAAGTGGGAATGACCGAAACATACCTAACCCATCATCCTTTTCTGGCAAATCAGGCAAAACACCATATAACAAATTATATATCATTTTAATAGTTTCAAATCCAGTTAAAACAAAGTCTTTTACTCTTCGCATGTATTCAGCCAGGTTTTTATTGGACCATGCTTTTCCGTTGTCAACCAACTCGTTTAATGCGCTTTCTTGTTTAACAAGCTCAGCTCTTTGTCTACTAAATACATCAGCAAGTCCGTAAGATGCTTTGCTAAGTATTGGAAGTTTATAAAATGAATTTAACAAATGTCTTGTTAAAAGAGACTGAGGCACTGGTGTGTTAGGTTTAAGCGAGGCAATCAAATCTATGCCGTGATTAAGATAATTATCGTCTCGAAGCAATAACTTAAGAGTCATAGCAACGATAGTTTCTGTAACAACTAAAGTTGTTCCAAGTTCACTCTCAATAAACTGTGACATAAACTTATTATTTTCTTTAACTTCAATAACTTTCTCTTCAATCTCAGAACATAACTCTGTAACCACGGTATCAATACTACGTATTTCTTTTAATGACAACCTCTCTCTTAATAAAAATCCAGCACACATTATTGCTAAAGGATTCTTTTTTAGAACAGCAGCGAGGCGCTCAAAACTAGCAGACATTTGTAAAGTAGCGTCTAAACCAGATACTATTTTTAAAGCCTGAAACCAATCATTTTCGTAAAATCTAAAAAGAATGAATCATAAATTGCTTAAAAAAAAATGACTATATTGATCTGAAGAAGAAGGGTTGATCTGGACGAGAAGAGTTATCTTATAAAAAGCTATTTAAATTAAATAGGAGAAAAGAGCAGGACACTCGTAGAGTGCACTGCTCTTTGTCAATGAATTTAAGTAAATAAGTTTTAGAACATAACAAACCCCTTTTCCATAAAGTACTTTTTACTTTCAGGAAAATTCATTGCAAAACAATTCACAGCGTCATATATGAGAACTACAGTTCCCATGCTCCAATTGTTTGATTCTTTTCCAATAAACCATTTATTAATTACACTAAAAACAGAATTCGGAGTGTTAGGTTGCAAGTTATCGATAGCTAAAACCCATCCAGCATGCTTAAAAAGAATTTCTTGGATACAGCATAACAAAGCATCGCATTGTTCACTAAAAGACGACAAATTAAATGTACGCGATAGACTCAATTCGTGTATTTTATTATCCAAGTCGCTTGGTTTTATTTTTAGCGAAGATGCAAAAGCTTTAAGAGAATTAAGAAATGCATCTTCGTTGTCAGCCTGTAAAAAAACCGATACATGTGATTTTGGAAGACTAAACTTGAATCCTTCTTGCTTTTCTATAACAGATTTTACAAAATCGCGAACTAACACAGTTTTCCCAGTTGCTGGAGGACCCAAAACCATAACAACTTTTATATTTTCACCACCTAACAAAGAACTTTGCGTAGAAACTTTTGAATGTAACTGTTCCATTTCATAAGTTCGTTTCACTAATGGGTGAACAGGCAAAGGTGGCAGCAGTTCAACATTAATTCTTGTTTTTTTATAAGTTTTTATACCATAGTACGTCATCCATGAAAAGAAAAACGTTGTTCCCAAAAACCAATATTTAAAATTAGGTCCATTCCAAACGGATTTAAATTTGTCTGCAAAAGTAACTTTTTTTGGCAATATTTCGTGCGTAGTGTAACGAGAAGTAAGAAAAAGACGGTGGATAGCACATGGTTTATTGTAGAACAAGTTTATTTTATTACAACCAATTCTTAACATCATTTCATATCACTTTTTGCGTTAAGAGAGCCAACTCTCAACATCATTAAAAGTTAACGTGCTAATAAAAAAATTCGTTCAAATATTTTAACTTTTACTAAAGCAGAAAAAATAAAATAGAAAATAAAATACACAATAATTACTGATTTAAACGACATCAAAATAAAAAAAATTCTTGTTTGAAATTTTTAAAATTTTTTTTATTTATCAGATAATTTATTACAATAAACAAGTTTTTGCAATTAATTCTAAAAAAAACAAACTTTAAGATGAAGCAATTTCAAAACAAATATTTTCGTAAAAGGAATAGTATAGATAAACGATGATAACAACGATAAGCATCACGTGAAATTAATAGCTATATATATATATATATATATATATATATATATATATATATATATATATATATATATATATATATATATATATATAATATATATATATATATATATATATATATATATATATATATATATATATATATATATATATAAATATAAATAAAAATACGTCCGTAACCACAATTTTCATATTAGGGGGGGGGGGGGGCGGCGGCCATATTACAGACTATTTTTTCCTTTTCCCCTGATATGTTTGGGCCTCTTCCTATCTCCCAGAGAGAGAGGTCCAAACATAGCAGGGGAAAAGCCCTAAAAAATATATGTTTTTCCCTAATAATTATAGTTTAATAATTTTTTTGGGGGTACCTCAGGGCCCCTCTTCCCCCAATGGTTACGGTTCTGATATATATATATATATATATATATATATATATATATATATATATATATATATATATATATATATAATAAATAGGTTAGATCATGAAATTAAAAAAAATCTTAATAACATTTTTAAATATATTCAAAAATAAATACAAAAAATCCTTAATAAAAAATATACTTACAAAATGAAAAATATTATTTAATATGAAAAATTAAAAAATAAAAAAGTGAACAATCAAAAATTAGATATTAATGGAAAAATAAATGTTGTAGAAATGTTAATAGAATCTTGAATAAAAAAATAAAAAGTCACTGCTTTTCTTTGCTTTTCTCTTTTTGCATTCTTCAACGCCACTACTTTATTCTTCAACATTGTGGTATATATTATTACCTTCCAACATTTTTGAGGATTTAGAACGACGCAACAAAGATTGAGAGCTACTGGTGCGAATCGAATCTATGGAGCTACTTGGTGAATTGATTGGCCGTGAAAATGAATGTGTTTTACTTCGACTTCGTACCAATAAAGTTTCGCTTTTTTCTTTCATTCTAGGTGTTAAATTTTCACTTAAAAGTAGTTTTTCCTTATGCGCTTGAATTGCTTTTTCTTTGAGAATTTCATGTCGCTCCTCCCTTAAAATTGCGTGGTGTCCAAGAACTAACTCTCTAAGATAAAAAAAAAAGCAAAAAGCAAAATAAGTAAAAGCAACAACGTAAAAAAAATTTCACATAAATATAATATTACTTGTAATCAATTTCTCCATCTCCATCAATATCCAAGGACTGAACAAGTGAAACTAACTCATCGTGGCGAAGCGGAACACCGGATTCTTTGAGGCCAGATACAAATTCAGCAATGGTCAGACTCAAACTCTTATCTTTATCAAGTTTTTTGAAAAAATCAAAAATTCGCAACTGATTTTCTTTTATATAAACTCTTAACACTTTCATTGGATTTTTTCGCTCTTCTGGCTTTTGCAGACTTCCGCCTAAACCGCCGTGATAAACATTTAAAGTGGGTACTTTGCTTTTAATTTTTGCAACAAGGTCAATAAATTCTTTTGTCACCTGAATATCCTACAATTATATGCAATACAAAACATTTAAAACCCTGCATAACTATTTATTAGATTCGTGAAATTTTAAAATCACAACCCAAAATGACAAGTGAGTGAAATTGTGTTTAAAAAAATACCTGTAATAAACAACCACAGCAGGATTTTATCTTTTACACACAAGGTAACAAAGGCTTTTGAGTTTTAATATTTTACTATAAAATATGCGTGCATCATACATGCACACGCGGGGACCATACATGCACACGTGGTGCATCATAATTTGTCCTTAACATAAAGGCCTGCTTATAATTATAAAATAACATACAATTATGTCTTTAACATAAAGGCCTATACTTTCTGAAACTATTTTGTTAATTTTTCCCAGTGCACAGTGGGAACATTCCATTGAAATAGGTGGCCAAAAATATAATCGTTGTATTTATGTGGATATTAAGCCTTATTTGAGTAAAATAGAGACTTGACATAATAATTTTTATTTTTGTGTTTAGCTTGCTTATAGGATATAAGCATCAAAGGGGCTGGGGAAATACACTAAAGCACTGGCGCACCAATTGGATTTTTTATATGTGATACTAGACATTGTTTAAATAATGGATGATTTTCCACGGCCACAAACTTGATTCATCATGCCTTTTTGTTGGTCGACCTCTTTTACTGATTGATTTATTAAACTCTCTCGATTACTTGGTGATTCAACTAAATCAATTATTTTAAAAAATTAATTAAGCTAAACTTGAATTTTTACTATCTAGAATTTCTTTTTTTTTTGATATGATGCATGCCATAGTGCAACATACTTTGCAAGAGTTAGTTTTAATCTCTTTCTTAATACATTTGTTTTGAATTCTCTGACTTGAATCCTAATAACAATGTATTTAAACCCATTATTTACATTTTCAAAAGTATATTTCGAAACCTGAAAACATAATATAACATTATATAAACATTAAATTGATTTCCTCCATGATTTTAGTTCACAACATTAGACTTACAGAGTAAAAAGAAAGTTTTTAACAACATTTAGAAAATCATGTGGTTTTTGGTCGATTAGTGGGACATTAAAAATGCACTTTAGAATTATTTTTTCTTAAATTAATTATGTATTTTAAAACCATAAACTCATGAAATTAAAATAAAAAATAATTTTTTTCCTTTCAATAACAACACAAAAACAAATTTACTTTGGTCTTTCATGCCTTAAGGTAGTTTTTTTTTTTTACTTTTTGTAATGAATGAAAAAAAAATTGTTTATTTAAAGAAGTTTTTTATTTGTTTAAAAAAATTATCTTTATTAAAAAAACATCAATTTTTCAAAATTATTTAGCACTCAAGATCGCGGATGATCGCAGCTACACTTCTCAGGGTAGTTAGTAAACACTATAGAATAAAAAATATCAAAATATGGAAAAGATACCAATTGGAACAATTTTTTAATTCTTTATCAAAGTTAAAATTTAGTATTTTTTGATGAAATTTTTACTTTCGATTCTAAAAATTTTACTACCAACTTTTTCAAGATATTTATTTTTTTTAGTTTTCAACAGTCTATACTGTAACCTTTCTAATGATGTGTATATTCTCAATTTTTCAATGATCTATATATTAAAAAAATAGTAATTACTAAAATTCAGCATCTAGAGAGTTTTTATCGAAAATTCATTAAAAACCTAACTTCAAGAAGCCACTACCGTTGAGCCTGTTACATTTAGAATTTCATCAATTGGAAAATTCTTAGTGAGGGTATTAGTAACAAAACCCACTATCAGACATAATGATTGAACTAAGTCACTTTTTTGATTTTTTGCCATGCGATTTCCCACTGTGCAGTGGTCACAAAACGTTCATTGGACGTCTTAAGGACGTCCTGCGGCCTTCTAACGTCGTATAGACATCTTACATACACCTCTACCTACTGGGTTGGTTTGAAAAACTAGATTTATAAAATTATTATTTGTTAAATTTTTTTTTTTTTTTAAAATGTATCACTACCTTTTATATTAAAAATAAACTTTTAAAGGTTATCATTAACAATTAACGTAGGAATCATATTCAAAAAACAAAACAATTACTCACAGTAAAATGTAGTTCAGCGATCGTTGTAACCATATTATTATGAAATGCTTTAATTATCTCGAAAGTGCCATGTTGCAAAGGATTCTGACCTACCTTAATAAAAATTTCAAGTAAATCCTCTAACAAAAACTTTCAACTAGTTAATAAATTAGACAAGAAAATAAGTCTGTGTTTTGAAAAGCATGGATATTCAGAGAGTGTTGAGAGTCAGATTCAGTCAGTTAAGAGTCATATTTAGTGAGTGTTGATTTATATTTAGAGTACTTCAGTCAGCCAGTTGAGAGTCATATTTAGAGAGTTACAGTCAGCCAGTTGAAAGTCATATTCAGAAAGAGTTGATTTAATATAATAGATTGCCCCATAATAATCAAAAAAAGTTATGTATAAAAAACCATTGAGAAGGCAAAAAGAAGAAATGACATCAGGTTGATAGTTTTTTAATATTTGAATAATTATCTTAAAAAGAGGCCACCACCTGTTTTTTACCAGCTGTTTGACGCAATTTTAATACCGATGTCCATGTTCAAAACCGGTACGAAACGTTACATTTTATGAGCCGCTTGAACACAGTTAATCTTATATTTAATAAAAGAGATTTTTACCTTTCATGGTAAGTAGAATTGCAAGTGTTTTGGTATCCAAATAAATATACCGTGGCAATCATTGTAGTGTTCTCTTGCTCCGGTGTTAGATGTTAATCATCTTTCAAATTGATTTCCTAATGTTTGATGCTTCCTTTTAAAATTCTCTTCTTCGTTTATACAATATATGTCATTGCAAGAACACGTAAGTTTATATACACCAGGATTGTTATTTGGTCGTAGTTTTAATTTATTTTGCAGAACTATTTTTAAATTAGGTTGGATTGTAAAATATTTTTAACATTATACTTTTTAAATTTTTTCCTTTAATTTTAATTCTATAACCGGATTCCATGAAGATTTCTTTGTTCTGACTATTTTTTGTTTAATTTGCAATTGTAACGGCACAACCTTTTTTTTTGTTTTCAAGATAATATTTTACTATTAGCTCTAACTCTGAACTTTTATGTCTTTGAATTTTATTGGAGAAGTTTAGTAATTTTAAGTAATTTTTAGTTTTCTTCTTATTTAGAGTTGCTTGATTTGTTGTAACAAGATATTTTGAAAAAACCATACACTCGAGTACCAATAGTAGAAACTACTGGTCTTAACGGATAATTGCTTTATGAGCTTTCATAACATCATACAGTCTTGAAGGAATACAATTAGAAGGATATTATTGAAAACAAGTATTTTTATCTAATTTGTTTTCTTTAATTTATGTAATAGCTTCTGAAATTTTGTTGAAAGTTTGTATAGTCATAATTGATAGTTACCAATTTTTTAATTTCTTCCTCTAATTTCTAAAAAGTATTTGATTTGTTTATTACGACAAATTCTGCTTCTTTATAAAACGAGCTTGTTTTTTTTTTTTTAAACTATTTAAAACCAAAATTATTTAAAAAAAACCTTTATTTTTTTGTGAGATTGTCTGGTAGTTAGGTTTTTAGAGATTTTGTCAGAATTTTACTTGTACATTGTCGTATATTATTTGGGTCAATGTATTTATTTTATTATTATTTTCCAAATATAAAGCAAAAGACTCGATGGGAATAAACACTTCTCTAAAAAGTACTTTCTTATACGAAGGTGCCATACCAAGGTAAATGCGTACACGTTTTAAGAAATAAAATGCTTTTCATCGCACAGTAGGCTAGAATATTCCAAAAGTAAATAAAAATACAAAACATCTAAACTCATGTTATACATTTAGGCTTTTGGAATCCGTTTCTGACAAATAAAAAATTGTTTTTTTAGAAGTACCAAAATGCATCAGTAAATTTTCGTATTTTCTAAATATACATCGACAAAAAGATTTTATTGAAAAAAACCCTCTGTGACCCTTGATTACACACTAGCTCCTATATATCAGTGAATTTTTTTTTCTTCAATAGTATATTAACCTGGGTCTCAAAAGAACCTGAATTTTATTTCAAAATTCATTATCTTTTCTACTGAAACATTTAAAAAAATATATTGCAAACAAAATGTCATAAAAGAAGACCGTTTTAATTTTTAGTTAAAAGTTGCTGCTTTTTGTATAAAAAATTTAAATAATTCATTTGAAACCATTATTATTTTTTAAATTTCTATGAAATTCTTATTCTTTTGAGACCCAGGTTTATATACTTTTATATGAAAAAAAAATTCACTGATATATGGGAGCCAGTGTGAAATCAAGGGTTATAGAGGGTGACCTTTTTCAAAAATTAAATAAAACCAATGACTTTTCACTTTGAAACCAAAAAGTCACATTCCTACTGTACACTTAGAAAGCGGACATGTGTAAAACGACGGCCATGTTTTTGCTAAATTGCTGTTTTTAAAGACGGTTTTTTTTAAAGAATTTATTTGCCAAACTTTATTTGGCAAATAAATTCTTTAAAAAAAACCGTCAAAAAATTACTTGTAATTTATAAGTAGGGGAAAGGCGCCTATGATGGCATATCGGTCATATTTCCATAAAAATTGGTTTTGGTGAAAAATTGATTAGATCTACATGACTATACTGACTTTACATTAGTTTTAGTGAAAATACGTCTCTCATGCACAAATATTGTTTTTATAATCAGCAAAAATTGATTTTGGGGTGTGCTGTTGTAGGTTTATTCCCTTTATATATTAAAGATTGTCATTTTATTATTGACTGTGCAGAAAGGGAATTTTTATGAATTTTTCAAGTTTTGTGCATTTAGTGGAATACTTACTTTAATTTTATTTTTTAAATAAGGCTTGTTTTAATGAAAATGACGACTTCTTCCTATTATGGCATACAGACGAGTTGGATGTGTTGCAATATTGGCGAGTTTGGGAAATCTTTTCTTTTTTATAAGAAAAGCTTATTTTTAAGTAAAGTAAAAAGAAAGCGATGCTCCAAAAGTTTTTTTTTGGTCCAAAAAATGCATAAAACGCAATATATCCTACGCGCATGCGCGAAACTTTACAATGCTGCTGTGTAGCATGAAATGGTAAATTAGGATGGTTCCGAGTAATTTCTGGCTTTTCTGAGGGAAGACTCTAAGGTTAAATGAAATCATCAAGTTACCCTTGATCCTAACCAGCCTATCCTCCCCTATGCCATCATAGGAGAAGTGGTTGCCTATGATAGCATACTTGTGCTTTTTTTTATAAATAGGAATAACATATAAAAAAAAAAAAAAACTGATGAAAAATCAGAGGGTTATTATTGTTTTACTTGTAATAAGGAGAGTATCCATATCAAAACTTTAGTTATTGGTATTTTGGATACTGAATAATGAAGCTTCAAAGTTAAGTATGCCATCATAGGCGTCTTTCCCTTAACTCAAAAGTTTTGTTTTTATAAATTAGTTTTAGTTGTATCTAAACTTTCGAAGCCAATGCATGCATTACCATAATCTTGCTGCCAAGTTCAAAATAATTTTTTTAACTTCATTTTTCTTCTTCTTCAGGCTAAATATTTCAGGTCTGAATTTTTCAGAAGTACATTAAATTTTCGGTCGGAAGTACATTAAATTTTTCATGTTTTTAAGCTTTGATTACCTGTTTTTAAGCTTTGATTAAAATTAATGAGAATTAGGATAAAAGCTAATCTTTTAAAATTATTTATCAGTTTTAATTTGTTCATAAGTCTTTCTCTTAAAGTATAGAATTATGATTTTTTTAGGAAAAAACTTATGATTAAAATGATCTAAATATGAAACAATTCAATTGTTTGATAATAATAATAATTCTATTAAAAAAAATTTGCAAAGTTTGTTTCATTAGCAAAAAATAAACTTCCTACATTGAGCTATTTGTATGTAACAAATATTGTATAATCAGCATTTACTCTATTTTTAAAAAATTGAGATTCAAAACTAATTTGGAAAATTCCTTAAATTTCTTTAACTCTAGAAGTTGTATATGGGCAATTCCATTTTTAACTTACGTTACAGGCGAAACAACTTTGTCAAATATTTGCCTATTTAAACTGTAAATTAAACTTTTAGCTATTTTGTATGAAAGTTGTTAGTCTAAAGAATAAAACAAGCAAAAAAAATTTGAGTCTGGCCGAAAGAGGGTGAACTTATTACTGAAAATGCCACCTAACTTACTTACTGCTTCAACTTTAAGATCGTATTTCTGCGAATCAGTAAAGTGATATGTATTAGAAACTTTCACAAAATGTTAAGAATTCTATGCCAATTTAAAATATATATAAAATTTTATTAGAGGTGACCGAGTAAGGAAAATAATCTGGTTTTTTTGATACTATATATCTATAACTAACTTATGTTACATCACTTACATTACTTTAGCGATTATTATCGTGGATTTTTTACTTCTATTATTTCGAGTTAGAGTTATGTAACAAAACAATTTCAAAGGTTTATTACATAAACTTATTTATTAAAAATAATTAACAAAGAAAATTTTAAAAAACTGGTGGCACTCTTCCTGAGTGATTTTTCATAACATTTATAAAACTTATCAAATCGAAAACAGTTTTTCCGCAAGACCAAGAGCAACTTTGAAATTGTTTTAGTATTACAACTTTTTTATACTTATTTGAGTCGTTTAAATAAGAAAATCTCTGGCTTGTCGAAGTTTTTACTTACACTCCTTACGTTTATGCGTATTGCCTTATTTTCATTAGGTTGAATTTTTAAAATGCTGCAAAATACTTACATTTAAATATTTTGAAATATTTTTGAAGAAAAACTGCTATCACGGTTTAGAAGGGACAAGGATTTAGGTATATGTGATCATTTGTGACAGTAGGGAAGGGGTTAAAAATTCAAAAATATAGGGTGACATGGTTTATGGATGAACCATAATAGCATTTACAAATGATTTGTTTTACTAAAACAAAAACAAAAAATAATACTAAATTTTTTATATTAAGAGATAAGCAAATAAATCTTTTTTTCTTTTTTAAATGTCTAAATACAAGTATTTATATATTTCTTATTTTTATTTATTTATGAGTATTTATATCAAATAAAATAAGAATACATAAACAAATAAAAAAGCAATAATATAAATAATTTT